TTTCTCACTCACTCACTCTCTCTCTCTCAATCTCTCTCTTTCTTCATCACCATTATCACTATCTTCGGCGATAATGATGGTGATGCCAATAACAATAATAATAATGATTATAATAGCAAAAATAAAAAGAAGTATATATATATATATATATATATATATATATATATATATATATATATATATATATATATATATATATATATATATATATATATATATATATATATATATATATATATATATATATATATTGTACACACACCACACACACACACACAACACACACACACACACACACACACACACACACACACACACACCACACACACATATATATATACATGTGCAATACAGATAGTCTGCTATGATACAGACCCTTACGTACAGAAGCAACAACCTACAACTGCAACTGCTTACTAAAGCACTAATGACGAAATGTGCTGATTCTGCTCACAAACCGACGGTGTATTAATAGATTCATGTGTTCTGATGACGTAATTTCCAACTGACATACGAAATTGAACTTCATCCAAAAATCCCATTTCAGATAAGAAATCAACACGTTTTGAATATCATGATTTTTTTTCTCCCATTCAAAATTTATATTACGTTTCACCGTGGATCAAAGACCCTACGTCAGTTATGTGATTTTTCAAATAATGATTGACACGTATTTCGTACCTCAGAAAATTATCCTACAAAATATTTTTAGAAATCATGTTTAAGACCCATAACTAGTTACGACTGGGAAGTACTTTACTCTATTTTTAAACACAGAAGGTTAGGAAATAACGAGAAAATATTTCAAAAGACATTTCCCCTGAGAGTGATTCTACATTATTCTTTCTAGTATAAATGCCACGGTGTGTTGTTATATATATATATATATATATATATATATATATATATATATATATATATATATATATAGAGAGAGAGAGAGAGAGAGAGAGAGAGAGAGAGAGAGAGAGAGAGAGAGAGAGAGAGAGAGAGAGAGAGAGAGAGAGAGAGAGATATATATATATATATATATATATATATTATATATATATATATATATATATATATATATTATATATATATGTGTGTGTAAGGCGGAACACATACTTTCCTCTCAAAGCCTGTGACTTGCTAGATATTTTATTCTCGACATAGCTTCGAGCAGATAGGAAAGTCTCGCCACAATCACCATCATCTAAGCGCGTCTCGAAAGTGAAGTAGAAAACAAACTATAAAATAACAACTTTTCCTTTACGAACTCAATGATCACTGTGTTTGTGAGCATTTAAATTTTTTTGTTTCTAGATTTTTGCCTCTTACCATGCATGTGTGTGTGTGTGTGTGTGTGTGTGTGTGTGTGTGTGTGTGTGTGTGTGTGTGTGTGTGTGTGTGTGTGTGTGTGTGTGTGTGTGTGTGTGTGTGTGTCTATTTACAGTGATATACATTTCAACAAGCAACTACTAATCGCACTGGTAAATATTTTATGATCAGTGTTAATGCTGGCTTTTATGAAAGCTGATTAGGGGTCACTCCATAATGCATATCGCAGACATTATTTCCGGGAAAATTAACATAGCATTCGATTGCATAAATACTTTTGCGGCTATAATATATATTGCACATAGCAGCCCTATATATGGCAATTATTAAAAAAAAAATACTAGTGATATATAGTCACCTCTGAACTTTTATTTTTCGTTTGACTTTTATATATAGATAGTCTGGTAGATAAAGGAATTAGATAAAAGATAGACAAATAAGCAGAAAGACAGATAGACAGATATGTAGATGAAAACATATGTGTATGTTTATATATATATATATATATATATATATATATATATATATATATATATATATATATATATATATATATATATATATACATATATACATATATACACGTTTATACCATCAATTGGAGCTAACTCCGGTGGGGACGCATAGCCGCATCCACCTTTTGTTTCCACCTACTAGGATCCCTCATGGCGAGCCGCCAGGCAGAGACTCGGCCCATCTCAAGCTCTTCACCTCAAATATGATCGATCTGCCCAAGCCATAACTTACTAGGTCGTCCCACGGGCCTCTTCCATCCAAGGTTGTCTTGTACAGAGACAACTTGGTGAATAGGATCCTCCTGTGGGAAACGAGCCAGGTAGCCATATGGCCTGAGTTGGCGATCACAGATTGTGCAAAAAACAGGTCCTGTGTCAGTCTCACTACAACCGTTGGTTGGACGCATGGTTCCGCCAACTACCTCATGATCCGGCATGAAGACCTATTAAAAAGGCATCAAGACGAGATTTCTAGGCTAGGATATTGTCAAGGTTTCACTACCATAGAGCAAAACTGGCATTATCAGGGACTTGAAAACACGTACCTTGATCTTTCTCCACAGGTACCGACATCTCCAAACACTCTTGTTGAGAGAGTTCATGACCCCTGCTGCCAGGCCAATCCATCTGCTGACTTCCTGGTCTGACAGCCCAGAGTTATGAACAACGCTAACAAGGTGTGCAAAGCTCTCTTTGACTTCTTTGGCCTCACCGCAAACACATACCAACCAAGTAGGTTTCCCTAGCAAGTCCCTATATATATATGTATATTTATATATATATATATATACATATATATACATATATATATACATGTATATATATATATATATAGATAAGGATATATATGGTATGTATATATGTGTATGTATATATATTATATATATATATATATATATATATATATATATATATATATATATATATATATTATATATATATATATATATATATATGTATATATATACATATATCTATACACATGTATATACATATATGAATACACACACACACACACGCATATATGTATATACATATACATATATATATATATATATATATATATATATATATATATATATATATATATATATATATATATATATACATATATCCTATATGTATGTGTGTGTGTGTGTGGATATATTTATCTGTATGTTCGTGAGTGTTTTTAAGCGCAAGTTTTGTGTGCGTGAAACCTCATCCTTGCTACTTACTTTACAGCGGTTATGTTAACCCCTTATGTCCAAAATGCTACAACTGCAGAAAGTAAAATCCCAAAGATCTTTCCCATTCGGCTCTTAAAGGTGCCTCCTCCTCTTCCACCTCCTGGGTTTCAAGAGTGCCATGACAGACAGAATCCGAGTCTCACTACCGAAGCCTCGACCGAATCTGCTCAGACCTGATTTCTGAGGAGTCTGGGAATACTGCTTATCGGAAGGGATGGGAATCCTCCGAAATCCAGACCGCAAGACTATCCAACTGACTATCTCCAACTGACGCTCGTTCTCTTCAAACTTTGGCTGTTCCTCAGTCCGTGTGTCCATTGTAGGTTCGGAGACGGTGTTTTAAACCGAGCCTTACGTTTTAGATTTGTGTTTCCATATCTACATGGAGATATAGTTCCATAGATTTACATGCACACACATACACTTACACGTATATAAAGATACACAAACACACACACACATACACATATGCACGTACATGCATATATATATATATATATATATATATATATATATATATATATATATATATATATATATATATATATATATATATATATATATATATATATATATATATATAATATATATATATATATATCTATCTATATCTATCTATCTATCTATCTATCTATCTATATATATATATATATATATATATATATATATATATATAATATATATATATATATATATATATATATATATATATATATATATATATATATATATATATATATATATATATATATATATATATATATATATATATATATATATATATATATATATATATATATATATATATATATATATATATATATATATATATATATATATATATATATATATATATATATATATATATCGTGTGTGTGTGTGTGTATTCATATAGTCATTAATTTATCCACTTATCTATAATTTGTCCAGCATGGTTCGTGCACATGCATGTATACATGTATGTATGGATGCATTCATTTATATTCTGATTAAAAACACAGCCACTGAACTTATTTAGTTTCATTAGTTACCTTCTACACGAACCTCCCGCGCCGCTGCTTCCCCTTCGGAGGCGCCCGTGGGGGTTCCGCATCTCGACTCCGACATCAGGGCCCACGTTCGAGACACCAGAGGCTCACCTGCGGGTCGTCGGGCCCTTGAATGGAGGTCTGATCACAAATTAATGTTGAAGTCGTATAATTGGATGATTGGTTTATATGAGGGATGTTTAATGTAAAAATAATAATAATAATAATCCTGCAAAGATGGAAGGAAAACATGCCACAGAAATGTTCAAGTTTATAAAGTCGATTTTTTTAGATTGATATTTATCTGTTCGGAATGATGATCATATCTTTTTCTCCTTTTAATAGTTCTGTTTTCTTTCTTTCTTTCTGTTTTAACTAATATAGAAAGGCTTATTTTATCGCCGAGGGAGAAGAAAAAATCCCAAGTGATGCTGGAATTTCATCTTGATCTTGCAGAAGGAACGAATTAAAGTTGCCATAAAAGTTCAGGATCTTTGTGTTTACTCCTTCAGACGTGGTGCTCATTTCTTTTCTTTTCTGTCATTATTTCTTTCTTTCCCTTCTTGATTTTTTTCTTATTTTTCTTTCTCTCTCTCTCTCTCTTTTTTTTTTTTTTTTTTTTTTTTTTTTTTGCTTCAGACTATCTATATATAAAGGTCTGACCAAAAAATAGAAGCAATGAGGCCACAGATGAATATATATGATTAATTTATTCCTATAATAACTATATATCACGCTATTTTGTAATATATATCATTAGATTCACCTGAGAGTTTTCGAATTTTTTAATAAGTCGCACAGGTATTTCAGCAACCGAATAATACGTTAATTTTCCCGGAAATAATTTGTCTGTGATATGAATAATGAAATGATTCCTAATCAGCTTTCATAAAATCCTGCATTAACAC